TCATCTATTATTAAGGCTTGAGCTACTATTCTAGCTTGACATAGTGTTATTGTCAACTATAGCAAAAACCAAAAATTGCATGTTGCATTTGTTTTACATCTTTCATATAAATTTAAATGTACATCTGTCATCCAAAAGATACCAGTAAGCTGATAATTAGGTAATATTATGTCTGACGTATATTTTCCATCTATTCTCCTCCTGGTATTTAAAAAACACATCTATCATTAAATATCCATCATTCTTATCTTTTTTGCAACTGCATTATACACGTTGCTTTTGTTTATTACGTTCTTTGGTTATTTATTTCCAAGAATTCGTATAATATTACTTGTAGTTGTTTACAAAAGTGAGTATTTGTTCAAAGAGTAATTGTACAAAAATGCTTCAACTTGTTGCAAAGTGTCACCAACTTTCAGTGAATATATGACACGATCATTGTTATGAATGTTCAATAATTCCATTGTTGTCTTCTTCACCACTAGATAAATAATAAATTGAATTTATATTTAAATAAGCAAGTAAATGTAAAATTAGAATTTTTTTTTCCAAAACAAAAAAACCAAATGCAACATATAATCGTCTTCATTTAAATGATTATTATCAATAATGTTTTCAACTTGACTTGTATCTTAACCATCAACTGCAAGGTGAATTGCACAAATTGTTGTAGGTAGGTGAGGTTATTGTAGATCCAGATTCAGAGAAAGCGGAAAAAGTAGCAGTTATAAGTGGTCCTTGACGCGTTTTTTCAATTTCAAATGCTTTCATTTCTTCATCTTTGCTACTATTCTCATTTGAAACATGAGTTAAACGAAGAAAATTAAATTAAAAATGTTTCAGAGAAATCTCAGATTGTATTGTAAATGGTAAATGAACAAGAAAATTTATTCAAGAATAAATAATTTTTGTGTAACTTTTGAAAACAAGGGTGTCCCACAAAAATTTGTTTCTCATATGCCACCGAAAATGTGATAAGTAGAAACTAGGGATGGTATATAACATGTTATAAATAATTTGAGGGGTATATACCATATTTATACCTGGTATATACCACAATTGATTTCTTGTGTAATTTTTTAGTAGGGTATATACCATGGTATATACCGGTATAAATGGTATATACCACTAATATGTAATATGTAATAAGATAACAATTTTGGTTTGAATATTTATTTATAAGAAATACTAATTGCAATAAACTTATGTTATATATCTTCATAGATT